GGTTGATGACAAGACAAATTCCAAAGCTCGAATAAAAGATTCAAATAGTGTATGATCTTTGATAAAATCTCATTTCCTCCTCACGCCATCTAAAGCTAAGTCTAACGGAATGTTGGTGAACAGTGAGACAGCATGAAGCGACAATAAAACATCAAACTCACCAACACGCAGGCCCGAAAGGCTTCCGACTAAATCAAAAAGCTGTTATTTATTTAACATGAGTTTTATTTTTCCATACCACTTCCATCCGTAGACAAGAACAGGCTATAAGTTGAATTTCTAATTGGTTATATATAATATATACAGAATATATAATATATAATATATGTAATATATGTAATATATGTAATATATATATAATATATATATAATATATACAGGGTGTCCCAGAATTGCCGTACAATTTCTTGTAGGCAAATAGAAGGAGTAAAACTGAGTCGAAAATTCCTGAACCATTTTTTTCTCTTACATATAATAAAGGAGTAATTATTGAATACATGAAGCCAATCAGCGCCGACTTTTAGCCGAACGCAGATCAATGAGCCGCGTGGAGCGCTTACACACACCAGGCGCGCGGCTCACTGACGTGCGTTTGGCTAAAGGTCTGCGCTGATTGGCCTGATTTACTCAATAATTACTCCTTTATTATAAATAATAGAAAAAAATGGTTCAGGACTTTTCGACTCAGTTTTACACCTTCTACCTGCCTACGAGAGATTGTACGGCAATTCTGGGACACCCTGTATATATATACAGGGTGTCCCAGAATTGGTTTAACATCTCTCGTAGACAGGTAGAAGGAATAAAACTAAGGTGAAAAGTCCTATACCATTTTGCTAGATTCGCAATAGTTACTGAGATTTTAATTCACAAAGATCCGCGAATAAGCGTGCATCAGGTTGTCTTACGCGCGGAGGACAGCCCGGCGCGCTTCGCACAATTACATTTTAATATGTATATGTTATAGTATATGCTGTTATATTAGCTCCTTCCATATGTCGCTATGGGTAACACCGTTAGCGCGCGAAGCGCGGCGGGCAGCACCCTGTATACATATATATATATATATATATATATATATATATATGTATTATGTATAACATACACACATACATATACAGGGTCTGACAATTACTTTAGCATCTCTCGTAGGCAGGTAAAAGAAGAAAACTGTCTTACGCGCGTAAGAGAGCCCGATGAATGCTTATTCGCGGATCTTTGTTAATTAGATCTCGGTAACTATTGCAAATCCTTTTACTTGCCTACAAGAGATGCTAAAGTAATTGTCTTGTAATTGCCGTACAAATCTCTCGTGGGTAGGTAAAGAGGGTTATATTGAATCAAAAAGTTCTTTACCACTTTGAAAGATTTGCAATACTTACCGCAAGATTTTAATCTTGCATCTTAATTAATAAAGATCTGCGAATAAACGTGCATCAGGCTGTCTTCAGGCTATTCTACATAAACCGCAGATGCAGGTCACAGGTCGTAAATCTCGAGGAATTGACCAATAACGTTAGTCAATTGGCTAATTTGACAAACGTAAATGGTCAATTCCGCGAAATCTGCGACCTGCGACTCGTGCTTGCGTCTTAAGAAGGTACTGGATACCGATTATAGAGATCTGTAAACCGACGTCTCTCCTATGACGTTTGGTGTTGTATTTACTGCATTAAATCTAAAATGTTTCTACAGAAATAAGTAAATTGCTACAAATTGGCGCTTGTTCTTTGAAATGTCAAAATTCAGCATAAAATTTTTCTTATACAGTTTTGTTTTATAACTCCATATATTTATGTATGTAGACTTATTTAGCTTATCTACATATTTACAATAAACAAGCGCAACAAGTACGCAAAAAGAATTCAAAAAAGCATATACCCATTTCAAAAAAGAATCTAATGAGACATTCAGATTATGGTTTGACTATTTACTTGATGAGAACAATGTCATAGTGTGATGATGTATATCTACGGTGACCATATGTCCTTTATTTAAGAGGACAGTCCTTTATTTTACTGCTCTGTCCTTTAGATTTATTTTTTTTCTAAAATGACTATTTTGTCCTTTATTTTATAAAATGAAAGAGTAAATTGAATCTATAGTTGCGTCGTTGATGTGTGTGTGTATAATTTATAATAACTAAAGGTAATTGAACAACAAACTCATGGATTTTTGTCTTTAAATACTAAAAAAATAATTTTAGATTTAGAAAAAACTTAAACCATTGATGCCAACACATTTAAAGATGCAATTCATAATTTTTACAAAACCTGCATTAATTATTTGAATAACTGGGAGTGCTCTTTTGTGGAAATGGAAGTATTTGAATAAGTTCTATTACGATAAATTCCTCTGTGGGCAAAGATCGAAGAAAGCGTTTTGTTTATTTCTAGTCACTGGAATTTAAATATAAACGACGGCGAACTATTTGATGAAGTTTTGTGTATCAAAAGTTACGTCACCACTGAAAAGATAGAAGAATGGAGACATAATGACGACTCTTGCCAACGTAGATGAGTTGAAATTGTTAAATATTTTACAGAAAAACACGTATCTTTTAAAAACAAAAATTGTTGAATTTTGCTTGTTTTCCTGAATCTAACGCTCCTACTGAACAAGTATTTTCATTAGTGAACAATATATGGACCAGAGAAAAAACTCAATTAAAAATTGAAACATTGGAAGCATGCATTTATATCAAATGCAACTTTGATATGAACTGTATACAGTTTTATGACTTTTTAAAACAAACACCTGATTTATTAAAAAAAAGTTCATTCTTCTGAGAAGTATCACTATTAAATTTTTTTGACTACGAATATATTTTTATGATAACATGATATTTTTTAAAGTAAATAATATTTAAGTAATATGTTGTTGAAAATGCTATATATTGTATATACATATATATGTATACATATACAGGGTGTCCCAGAATTGGTTTAACATCGCTCGTACACAGGTAGAAGGAATAAAACTAAGGTGAAAAGTCCTATACCATTTTGCTAGATTCGCAATAGTTACTGAGATTTTAATTCACAAAGATCCGCGAATAAGCGTGCATCAGGTTGTCTTACGCGCGGAGGACAGCCCGGCGCGCTTCGCACAATTACATTTTAATATGTATATGT